TTTATTGTTGGCAGTAGACTTAAGTTTTTATTTTAAACTGTGTTTATGTATAAGTAGCCCTTTTAACTAACTTCTTCCATTCTATGGTTTTTCTACTGCCTTGTGTAGAATCACCGCAGAATTTTAGTTAGCAGGACCACCAACATGACAGTTCCACATGCGGATGTCTGCCTACTACCACAGGAAGTTTTTCAGACAAACTCTGCAACAATTATCATTGGTTAATATTGATCACTGAACACAGAAATACACATCTGTCTCCCATTATCTGTTTACTTTCAGTGAGTTTAAAGTTTATTAGCACCACCCACCATGTTGCTCTGTGCAGACTTATAATTACAGACGATAGTGTTACTGATTTAGATAGTTTTAGCTTTGTACATGTGTGTGGTTTAAATAATAATACAATAATCATTTTAATGTATATACATGAAAATTATTATTGACCAAACAAATTGTTTGGTGATGGCTACTGAGTCAGCTCATGTTAGAAGGTCATGGCTAGCAAGTTATTTCATATCTTGCATGTTAGCTTACAACTAGCATGTTAGCTTGTTGCTAGTGGGTTAGGCCATGGCAGAGCCATCATACAGGACTGTGGCCTTGATTAGCAGGTTAGGTCTAGGCTACATAGTAGGTTACTATGAAAAGAGACACACAGACAATTTAACTTAATGTTGCTTTGCCAGTTTAAATGCCTGGTGAGCAAGCAAGCTCAGAAATTACAAACTGTTAGGCACAAATGAAGGCATTACAGGCATTACAGGCATCACCAGCTTTTTGTGTAGTTTATAGTGCCAAATCATACCAGCGTACTTTGATGTCAAAATGCGTACCTGCTACACAAAATGCATAGAGACTGGCAGGTCTGCACTCTGCAGCCCACCCTCTCACTCCCCCTAGTGATTCACGTCACTTCAGTTTAACCAAGTCAGAGCCAAAGCCAGAAGAAAGACATTACCTCTGGCTTTGGCTCTGACTTGGCAGCCGTACTTAGCATTAGCAGGACTTGACACTGGATGTGATTTACATCCAGTCTACATTATTAAACAGATGACTGTGCTGTAAAATTCATTAGACAATGTTTAATCAGTGAGGAACCCACAGGATTTCTGTGAAATAAATAAATATATCTATTTGTATATATGTATATGTATAAATATTTTTAGTTCTTTTAAATTTAATACAGTCCATAAGCTTGTATTTAAACAATGTAAGGACAGTAATAATACATTTTTTTATTTCATTTTTGAGTTTTTGGTTGGAAAAAAGTGGGTCAAAATCTGAAAACGCTCAATGGAAAATGATCCAATCAGAATTTGTTTCTCTGTGGTATCCCGGCAGATACAGACAAGCTAGGTCATCCAGTGATTAGGCTTTCAGAAGATGAACTGAAGGTGAATGTTCATGTGAATTGTTGTTAGCTTTGTGCTAGCATGCTACTAGAATCACACAGAGGTGCTATCAGAAACTAGCATTATGTTCTTATTATCAGTTAGTGTTTTTCATATAATTGATGCAGCAGTAACACAGAAAATAACTGAAAAATGCAGAATGTAGGAGATTTATGAACAGCTTGGTTTTCTGTAGAATGAGTTTGGGTGTAGAGAGTAGAGACTTGAGGCTGAAGTACAGACATGGTGTGACTACAGTTTGTGCTACAGTGGAACTCGATAAGAGGAGGTTACTGTTCTGATATATTAAATCAGAAAATTAAACTAACTCATGCTGTACAAACCCAGTCTTTTAACTGCATTCCACACCTCCATCAACATGACCTCTCTGCTGGCTTGAAAGGGGAATTCCACTGATTCTTCTACATTTCTGCATAATTCAGTCAGAGTGGTTGATGTAAAATGGTTCACTGTAGTCAAACTTAGCGATATCCTTACAAAGGTAGTGACAGGAACCAGGGATTCACAATGTCAACAACATAAATAGTCAGTTTATTCACAATGTAAAATGACCAGTGCGCCTACACGCCTTCATAATGTTTATATGTAATACTGACGATGGTAAAATAGTTGGAAATATGAAAATGTTTTCTTTGGAGACTATTTTACTTTACAACATCTCATATACAACTCATATATATATTTGTCCACTAAATGTATTATTAAAAATACTTTGTAGGCAAAAACCTTGCAAAACTTTTGTAAACCAGTGTTCCATCAGGTGATACATTCTTAACTATTTCATGTGTAAGAGCTTTTTGTGAAATAGCTCTTAGAGATATTAAACGTTTAAAACATCTGGTTTCTGTCAACACAACTGTTAGCAATTCACAGAAAATTTTCAGTTAACTGGTAGCTAATGTTATGCTAGCTTGCAACATCAGTTTAGTATGAACAGTGAATGTTAGCTGGCTTGTTATGTCAGTGATGTGATACTCCTACATCCCACATACGGCATTCTCCTTTTAGTGTCATAAGAACTTGGATCAATCAATATGAACCCATCTTTCATTATTTTATTTTATCCATTATTTATTTTATTTTATTTTATTTACTGTGTTTTATTTTTAATTTTATTTTCTGTGCACTGTGAGCTCCTGTAACCAAAACTGAATTCCTTGTATGTGTAAGCATACCTGGTCAATAAAGCTTGATTCTGATTCTGATTCTTTCTCTGTTGTCATTAATGTATGAAAACTAGGCCGTGGGTTTGAGCTCTGTGGTGTGCTTCACATTTTGGTTTCACTTTTCTGTCATATTTGTTTAGGGAGTGACATACATTGATGATATAAAGAGCTAAAATTAGTTATTCACACTCAGCTGATGTGGAGAAATGAATTTGTTAATTTAGCACATCTAGCACACCTACTAGCTAGTACTGAAATAATTGTAAACAAACTCTAATAAATTCACAATATAAATAAAAGTTACTCAAATCACTGGCATTTATGATACAGGGAGCTGTCATATACAGCCAGCTGGTAACAACAGTATAAAGCCACATTGTTTGGGAATAAAGTGTCAGCAATTGCATTTAGTCATACTGGCTAATGGCACCCAACAATTCATCCAGATTAGATGGACCAGAGTAATATATCTTATGCTCACAGTGTAGTGTATTCTATGGGGGGCCTAAAGGATAAAAAAAAATTAAAGTGCGTTACTGAGTCTGTTTTTATTTTATTTATTAAATTTATTCTTCCTGTAGGACATGTCAACACATTTAAAAATGTCAAAAAACATTTCTAGCAACACTTGTACAATTAATTTTGTTTAGGCATTTTTTTTGGTGAGGAAAAGTAGATGTTAAACTCAGGAACTCACTTTATTTATTTTTTTTTTCATCTTACCATTCAGAGCTTCCATAGTATTCAAAACCCACAAGAAAAAAGCTCAAGGGCCACATGTTATTCAAGAGAGAATCAGCACAAAAGCCACATTCACTGCACATCACCAAACATCTACCTGTTCAGGAAATCTGCTGAATCTTCCCACAACGTACAGAGCATCCTTATAATGCAGCCAGTACAGAGTGATGTATTCAAACCCTAGTATGTTGATCAATGTAGCCTTTTATATTGTGCATGAACAGTAACAGATGCAGCACACACAAAGTTTAGTTTCACCTTGTTTTTTGCTGCCTGCTGCAAATTAGTGAATTTAGAGGGTCATGGTGATTGGCTGGTGCAATAATAAAACAATTTAAAAAAATGCAGTTTGAAGTAATGCAGTAATACATAGTAATAGAACAACAACAACTTTATACAGAAGTGTAGGAGCAGTGTGATACTACTATACTTGTACTGCATTACTTCAAACTGAATTTTTGCTTTATCCAATTTTGTGGGCTCCATCTCTCAGAAGATGACACATGACTCTCCATTGTTCGGGGTCAACTGACTACTGATTAACTTCATCTGTTCCATGTTCATGTAACCTGTTAGTTTAGTATATAAGCCTGTATCATAGTATAGTTTGCATTTCTGGTTTGACCTCATTTTCTGGTTTAAGGACTTTGCTTTTCAAACTGCCCTTATGGTTACTGTTTTCACTGTTTGGCTTCTGACTTTGGACTGTCTGACCTTAATTTTGGGTGCCTCTTTTTCTAATAAAACCTTTTTGCATTAGATTGGTCTGCAAGCATCTGAGTTGTGTGGGGGTCTGACAGCAGTAGTATACTACTGTAAAATTTAGTACTGCAGTATTAGTGCATTTGTTTTATTTGTGAAGTAAATGAGGAAAATGGATGCAATTACTTTAGTATTAAAAAACTGCAGTAAATTATGTAGTTCTACTTTTAGCACTGCTCCCATTTTACTATATTTGTATTAAATACAGGACAGTAACTGCTGTTCTACTCTTATTAAATATTATAGTCCTGATATTACAATACAGAGAATATTTTAAGAAGTCTGTGTTTGAATTCACACAATCAAGACAGCTACACTGAAATACTCGCACATTTTTGTACACACATATACACACACAGACAGGAAGTATTCCAGTGCTTCAATCAGAACACAGGATATAAACTTAATAAGGCAGGAAACAGGATATAAACTTCATGGCCATTAATCAGGTATATTGCATTGTATTATTACACCTGTAACAACAAACTGCGTAAATACGACAATATCATATATATAAAGCAAATACAAACTAGGATAGTGCTGAGCAGATAAGGCCTGTGTCAATGCAAATGGTTTCTTTTTAGAATATGAAAGTGTTTATGGAGAAGCTCTATTCAACATGCATACTGTTCGAGAACAGAAGCTCTCCATGTGTCTAGTGGTACATATTCAGGAAAAAGAGCTGACTTGGTTTGGGTTCTTTATTATTGTTCTAACATTTTTGCAGCTGGAAAATCTTTTCGAGAGTTTTCACAACCCAATGCATGTCCATACTATCCTAGGATGTTGTTCCATCTTATAATAATAACAATAATAATAATAATAACAACAACAACAACAACAATAATAATAACAGACTCCAACACACACACACACACACACACACACACAGAAAGCTGTCCTGAGCTGTCAGTACCTGAGTGTGTCCAGTCTACAGTGTGGATCGTCCAGTCTAGCAGAGAGCAGCTTCACTGCTGACTCTCCTGGGTGGTTGTAGGTCAGATCCAGTTCTTTCAGGTGTGAGGGGTTTAAACTCAGAGCTGAAGCCAGAGAAGAACAGCCTTCCTCTGCAATTAAACAGTAAGACAGTCTGCAGAGAAGAGGGAAGAAGAGGGAGACAGACAAAATGAGACATGTGGCATTCAAAGTTGTATGCAAAACTTTGGGCACCCCTGGTCAAATTACAGTAAGTAAACACACATCCTCTTCAGCAAACATGCTTCTGCAATTTTTAATTCATAATTACTGCTCATCTGCTGAATTTATCATAAAATGTTGCCTGTGCAAAAGTTGTGGCACATTTCATATTTTACAAAAGCAGAAAACACAAATTTCTGTGTATTACACATGAAGACATTGATGTCTGCCAGATAAAATAACAACATTTACATAAAACATTTCAAAAAAGAATTTAAACAAACAAAAAAATATATATAAAAAAATGCAATTCTGGTAGATCTCAAAATAAAGAAAAGACATCCTCAGTTAGTATTTATAGCTGATAACAAGGGAGAATGTTTTATTTATTTTTTTATTTATTTTTGGAAGTTTTCATAAAGCTGATGAATTTTTATTGTTTGTCAATAGTTTTTAATAATTTAAGCAGGGTTAGAGCCTATGTGACCAAAGTGGGTGCCAGGAACAAAACAACAGTGATGTAACACATATACATACATACAAACATACAAATATGTTTATAAAAAAATACACATTTTTTAATTGTTACCATTCAAATAAATATATACACAAGTAACTACCATATCTGGAGGAGATTAGATATAAAATAATTCATTTGCATAAAGAAGCAGAAAGTCAAAAGAATAAGTGAAAAATCCAGAGTTTCCAAAACTAGAGTTCAAAAAATGATTTAAAGATCCAGAGAAAATTAAAATCCTAACAACCTGATAGACCACTGGAACTACAGACCTGACAGACCACTGGAACTGTCCCCATCAGATAAACAGAACACAAAACAGAAAGCTTCAGATCTGAAAACATCCTGTCCATCCTTCCACTATGAGAAGACAACTCAGCGCTATGAGTCTGAAAGGATATGTACCTGTCAAGAGGCTCTTAAGGAGCACAGAGCAGTGCAATTGCAAACAGGGGCGGAATTAGACTGAATACATTATCAAAAAGTGTGGTTAAGTGTGCTGCAGCAACCAGATCAACAGCTAAAACAATAATGACTATTAAAATGGCAATAATAATAATTGCAATTATAAACAAAAACAACAACAACAACAATAATAATAATCATTACAATGATTGCTGTTTTGCTATTATTATTATTATTGTTGGTATTATTATTATTATTGTTATTATTATATTTGTTTAGTTTTACATTCTTATTTTATTTTTTCTTGTTATTATTATTAGCCTATTAATTATCACTACTAAGTGGAACAGCTCAAAATGCTCTACAGCCTGAAGTAAATTCAACAGAAAATAAATAAATAACCACAAACACTACTAGTTGAATGTCACTAAAAAAGAAAAAAAAAACATCAAATCATATTGGAAACATGTTTGTGGGTTGTGGGTTTTAATAAACTGGTGCATTAATACAGGATTCAGTTGAAGTGTGTGGTCATTAGCATGCAGGACTGCATGCCTGGAACAAAATGATTAAAATAGGAATTTCAAGCATCCCTTTGTATATTTGTCCACAAAATTGCCCTGTGAGTAAATGGACATGTCTTTATGTGAGTGCCTGAATTTTATAAAATACAGTTTTTCATCCTCAGTTGGGCAGGTCTGAGGAGGTGGCAGTGCAAGCTCATCTTTGGACCAGATTTTGAATGTCACTCAGTTTAGGAATTTCTTGTTTTTGAATAATTTTCCATTCACTTTCAACTTTACTACACAAATGGATAATCTTACATCTAATCTCCTTAGAAATAGCTCCTAAAAAATTCATTACTTGTACTTCATGATTATTTTGACTGAAAATGAAATAAATGAAGCATCTCTGATTTTTGCTCAAAATTGTACAAAAACAGACACTAGTAATGTGTTACACCCCAAATGAGGTACACTGTTATCAATATATCTATATCTATCAATATAGGGATTTTCTTTTATGAACAGAATATTTTACGAAAGCACATATTTGCTCATGTATTTTGTATATATTGTATATATGTATATAGCATTGCGTATCAAGAATGAATTTACAGAAATCTCACCTGAGTATCTCCAGTTTACAGTGTGGACTCTTCAGTCCAGCAGAGAGCAGCTCTGCACCTGAATCCTGAAGGTCATTGTTACTGAGGTCCAGCTCTTTCAGGGAAGAGTTTACCAGTTGTAATACTGATCCCAGATTTTCACAAGATTTTTCCCCAAGATTACAGGAATCTAGTCTGCAAGGGGAGAATACATGCAGTATCACACAAAACAGTCAAAGGAAACTGACTGCATATTTTTAGCTTACTAGGATGATTCAACTAAGTGAGAAGATGAAAAATAAGTCAACAGTGTGTTTCTTTTCTCAAAAAGTGGTTCAATGTTGCTTATAATAAAAGAGGAACTGTAATCAGCAACAGTTGGTTAACTCATGCTTTTGTCTTTGTTAACATGCATATGGGATTAAGAAGCTTATTAGAGAATGTTTTATAATACATAATAAAGACGCAAGAGTTTACTAATCCTATGTAACTTCCTACTTTATTAGTCTTTATTATTTACCTTTATTGGTTTATTTTTACTGTATTCTTTTTGTTTTTTGGGGCTAAATAATCAGATATTCACCCAAGATTACACAGTCTGGAGAGTAAATATCTTATTGGAGAATAAGATATTTAATGGAGAATTTCTGAAAGTAGTAAGAAAAATGTATCTATGCCTTTATACCTTACATTTCAACCAACATAATCAGGCAGTAACAGTAGAATCAACTGAAACATTTTAGTCCCAATAGGTGGCTCCAGTGATGCAAGAAAAAACTACTCCAGCTCTTCTGGAAGTCCTAGATATGTCACTGACTGTGAGTACGAACTGCAGCCAAAGAATTAGGTTTCTGTCAGCTGTCAGAAACGTAATATGGCAGCAGCTGTTCTATGCATATTTTATTGAAGTAGTCACTGTAAAACTACTACTTACTAAGAAAATTTATATTACTGGAATTTTTGTACAAATTTCAAATGTTCCGTGTTCCTTTAGAGATGCAATATAATATGTGTGTTGACCACTGCTTACTTATTATAATATTGACATGATATTAACATGAAATCATAACATTAACATCTCATAAAGAGTGGTAACGGAAATTAGCATTATTGTAATAGTCGTACATTCCAAGACACCTTATACAGCAACTGAAAACATTTCTAAATTAAATACTGACATGTAATGACATGTATAGCTAATGCATGCTCTTCACACTATGAATGTATTTGGTTCTCTATGGAAACAAAATAAAAAGTTCAGGGAAAATCTCAAATACACCATGCTTTATTTTGTTTTAGTAGTTGCATTGGTCAGTTATTAATCTTAGCACAAGACTTGTGACTGTAGCCAGGTTTGATGTATATTTCAAAACATAGTCATGTTGGGAGGGATACTATTATTTAGCTTTGTCTATGTCACCTCCGTTAGTTGTTCCCTCATGTTCTACTTACATACACTTGTATCTCATAATCTAGGAATTTTCTTGTACTCACGGAATATTGTATGGTTCTTAAAGTTCACTAAAACATCCTTTTGTTGTAAAGTGCTGGTGAAGCATAAAATATCAAGAATGAAATCACCTGAGTATCTCCAGTTTACAGAGTGGACTCTTCAGTACAGCAGAGAGCAGCTCTGTTCCTGAATCTTGAAGGTCATTTTTCCTAAGGTCCAACTCTTTCAGGGAGGAGTTTACCAGTTGTAAAGCTGATCCCAGTTTTTCACAAGACTCTTTCCCAATATTACATGAAGACAGTCTGCAAAGAGTGAATACATATCACACTGTAAAAAAGTATTTATATCATGACATTAGACAACACATATACAAATTATCTTGCGTATTTGTAGTTTACTAAGATGGTTCTACTAAGTGACAGAAAGATATACAAGTCAGCAGTGTGTTTCCTTTTCTCACAAAGTGAGAAGTGAGGTCTAGGGGTATGATTCTCGCTTCGGGTGCGAGAGGTCCCAGGTTCAGATCCCGGATGAGCCCCCACATTTGTCATGACTGTCTCAACATCATGACAAATAAAAGAGAAGTAGTGAATAAATGAAAAACCTCACGGACAAAAACTGTGGGCCAAAATAAACTAATAAACTGAAGCATGTCTTAAAAAAAAACTGGCCCAAAAACAAAACAAACTCCCCGGGACACAAACAACAAAACAAAAGAGAAGCTCCCGTCACAAGCACACCACACAGGTGTAAGTAGTGTTTTTGATGAGGCCTACAGCCCCATCCACTTCAACTCCACCTGTAATGGCACAGACCTGTAATGGCACTGGCCCCTCACAGATGTGATTATGTGCTTGACCCGCCCTCAGTGTTTGGTGGAAGTTTTACCAGCCAAAAATGGTCTATCATTAACGGTTCAAGTATGTCAAGTTACCTTCTATTTAAACAGTAAAATTATAAGAGATTCTTTAAAAAGGTGGCTTGAACGGCTTGTCCTCCCTCAGTACTGGGTTCACTTATGTTTGCAGCTTACTGGCTAATGTGGCATAATTTAGTGGTTTGTGTTCAAACAGGAAAATTGTAATGCCATCTCAATGTTACTTAGTAATCTCAGTTCTGTTAAGAGCAAAGGTCACCGACAACATTCTGTTTTAGTAGTTGTATTGGTCAGTTATTAATCTCAGCACAAGACTTCAGAGTGTTGCCAGCTTCGATCGATATTCCAACACATAGTCATGTTGTGAAAGCTACTTGTAATTTTGCTTTGGCTATTTCAACTTTGTGATTTTACCTTTCAGAGATTTTCCCTGCTGATTCACTTTGGTACACTTGGATCTTATGATTTTAGAACGAAATCTCACCTGAGTATCTCCAGTTTACAGTGTGGACTCTTCAGTACAGCAGAGAGCAGCTCTGTTCCTGAATCCTGAAGGTCATTGTTGCTGAGGTCTAGTTCTTTCAGGAAGGAGTTTACCAGTTGTAAAGTTGATCCTAGATTTTCACAAGACTTTTTCCCTATGTTACATGAAGATAGTCTGCAAGAGTGAAAACATATGAAAAGAAATTAGAAAAAAGCACTTATATCATGCTAGACAACGCATATTTGGGGCTTACTAAGATGGTTCCTTTAAATGAGAGTAACATAAATAAAGTCAACAAATGAAGTAAATGAATAAATAAAAAAGTGGCTCAAATTTGCTTATGATGTTCCTTCAGTAAAATGGCACTATAATCAGCTATAGCTGTTTAACTTAGTTTTCTCATGTGTTCATCTTTGTTGCCAGGCATATGCAGCATAGTAGCTTATTTAGAGAAATATTTTTCACAAAAAACTAGAACAGCTCACTAATCCAATATAATGTGCTACTTTGTTAGTAAATTGAACATTTCAACCCCCTGAATTACAGTTTCTTCTAAATTACAGTTTCTCTTCAGTTTGGTTCATATTTTTGTCATGTTTTAGCTACTGGTGCCAAATCCTTCAGTACCCAGGGGCAGAGGTACTCCAGTTTCAGGATCATGAAACACAGCACTGAGGGTGTGCTTTACAGTACAGTGAATGATTTCATTTCTGTTTTCTACAGCTTTTCAATGGACTTTCAAAGATTCTTGGGAAACAAGTAAATCAGACTGGCAAGCCTACTTTTGCTGGATCACCACCAGCTGCCTGGCATTATGTGCAGACTGCTTGACCTGCCATCACTGTTTGGCGGATGCCAAAATTTTACTAGCCAGAAATGTTCTATCATTTTATGTTTATAGTAATAATGAAAATATACAGAATGTTTAGTAAATATTTCAAATAATCAAGTTACCTTCCATTAAAACAGTAAAATTATAAATCACTCATTGTGATAGCAGTGATATTCTAGCTTCTAAGAATATGTTATCCTCTATGCTTTTAGCATCACAAAAGAGAAGCAAAAATACCAAAAACATCTGCCTTCTTGCGGATTTGTTAAAAAATTATTGTTATGCTGTATCTACTGCTCCTGCCTTCCGCTCAATGACTGCTGGGATAGGCCCCAGCTCCCCCTGCAACTCAGAAGGACAAGCAGCTTAGAAAATGTGTGTGTATGTATGTATCTACTGCTGTGAATGAGTCCATGAAGACAGATTTTGTTAGGTAAAACCTGGCTTTACTTTGGCAAAATCTTAACAACCCTATTTTGCATTTAACATAACTCCAGCAAGATGGCAAAAAAGTTGCCTAATTCTGGCTAATGATCACTAGTATGTAAAACTATTGCTACGAAGAGCCAGGGAAATGTCAGTGAAACAGTTTGTGTCTTTATGATAAAGATATAGCTAAATCATATTTTGGGGGAAAAAACTTATAGGAGTCATCTTACCCAATAGGTCTAACTTTAATTTTTATTTCAAAAGAATAAAAATTGTACTATTCTGTACACAACCCCTACATAATCATACATTTTTAACTTGCTTTGTAACTTAATAGAATGCATAAATCACTGTTATCTAATGACAAAAACTCTAAAGAACTAATCCCAGGTCAATTACAGGTCAATAAATCTCAGAAATGTCATATTAAGATGAAATTTCACAATTAATTAGCTATTCTGTAAATTTATCAAGATTAGATCTGGCCCCATCATTCGATCAAGAGAGAAATAACCCATTACATGTTTCAATTAATGTGTTCTCCCCATTTATTTCATTATTTCTTGTTTTAGTCCTATACTGAAAGATGTTGACTTCATTTCATTTAATTAGGCGCACTTATGCATGTGCATAAGGACCGAGGATCAGTCTGTCACTCAGTCAGCGACTAAATAAGAGACAGCGCTTGCCCACTAGGCAAAAAAACCTTTTGGATGTAAAAAGATGTACTAGTGAAGCACTGAATATCAAGAATGAAATCTCACCTGAGTATCTCCAGTTTACAGTGTGGACTCTTCAGTCCAGCAGAGAGCAGCTCTGTTCCTGAATCCTGAAGGTCATTGTTGCTGACGTCCAGCTCTTTCAGGGAGGAGTTTACCAGTTGTAAAGCCGATCCCAGATTTTCACAGGACTTTCTCCCAATATTACACCAAGATAGTCTGCAAAGAGTGAATACATTTCTTACATAAAAAGTGTTTATATCATAATGTTAGACTACACAGATACAAATCACTGTGCATATTTGTAGCTTACTAAGATGGTTCCAATAAGTGACAGCAGGAGAAATAAAGGCAATAAATAAATAAATAAATAAGTCAGCCAGCAGCAGGTTTCCTTTTCTCACAAAGTGGGTCATGTTTGCTTATAATATTCCTTCAGTAATGTTGCTAATGTTGTAATCAACTATAGCTGTTTAACTCATGCTTTCATCTTTGTTACCATGCATATACACATAGCAACTTATTTAGAGAAATGTTTTCACATAAAAAAGCTGGAACAGCTCACTAATCCTAAACAACTTGTTACTTTGTCAGTTAATTTAATATTTCAACTTCCCCGAATTCCAATTTCTTGTCAGTTTGGTTCATATTTTTTGTCATGCTTTCAGCCACTGGTGCCAAATCCTAGAGAGCCACAGTACTGGACAGCTAGACTGCCTACCTGTTCTAAAGTGAACTCATTAATGACTCCTGATTATTTTAAAGCAGGATACTTATAAAACTGTATAAAACACTAACTATGCAGTGCTGTGGTTAAAAAATGTATTGGCACCTATTCCATCAGGAAACATAGCACTGAGGGTGTGGTTTACAGTAGAATTAATGCTTTCATTTGTGTTTTCTATGGCTTTCCAATGGACTTGTAGATTATCGGTTTACAAGCAAAAAAATTATAAATAAATAAATAAGTAAATACTACTAATAAAAATAAATTAAAAAATCACACTGACAAGCCTACTTTTGCTGGATCACCATAAGCTACCTGGCATTATGTGCTGAATGCACCAACCGACCAAAAAATCCGCCTTCTTGTGGATTTGTTTGACATTTATTCGTATGCTGTATCTACTGCTGTGAATGAATCCATGACGACAGATTTAGCTAGGTCAGTATTGAGTGTTAAATTCACACAATGACAGATTTTAGGACTGTTATTAGCACAATATGACACAGACTCTCAAGTTAATTTCAACATGCACACACATTTTAAATTTTTGTTGAGAGTGTAAAAATAAGAGCAAAAACCACTTGTTCTCTATTTGCCAGCATATATTCTTATAACACTAGCAATACAGCTTCCAATTTTCAGTTTGAAAGAAAAAAACAATTGTATCGTGCTCTGCACAACACCTCCATAATCATATATTTTTAACTTTCTTTGTGAAACTTTATATAAGCGCATAAATCACTGTTTTCTAATCACACACACACACATACACATTTTCTAAACCGTTTACCCTTCTGGGTCACAGTGTTATCTAAACACAAACACTTTCAAAAACTGATCCTAAAAATATTCTAGGTTAATACATTTAAAAACACTATATCAAGATAAAAGTTCACAATTCATTTGACCACAGCTATTCTGTAAATTTATCCAAATTAAATCTGACCCCATCATTTGATCAAGAGAGAAATTACCCATTGCATGTTTCAGTTAATGTGTTCTTCACATTTCTTCCATTATTTATTATTTTAGTCCTACACTGAGGGATGCTGAGTTTGCTTCATTTAATTATGTGTATTTATGCATGTGTGTTGTAACATTGAGTGTCACGGACTGAGGATCAGTCTGTCACTCAATCAGTGACTCAATAAGAGACCGCGCTGGCCCCAAGGCAAACTGGTAAAAAACAACACAAAAAAACAAACAAACAAAAAACTGCTCAAACCAACTGACAGTAATATTGAAAATATATTTACAGAGCCATTGGCCAATATCTGCTTTCTCAATGAGTTCAACCTCCAGAAGTTCATCAGACAGGTGTTTTTGAATGGTTTGTCCTCACTAAAAACCAGGTTCACTTATTTCTGCAGCTTGCAGCATGACACGCTTTAGTCATTTGCGTTTGAAAGGGAAATTGTGATATCACCTCTGCATTGTTTGATCATTTCAGTTCTGCTTAGAGTGACAGTCACTCTAACGACAATGAGCACAGATTAGCACAATAGGTCAGGTTTGGGGAAGCAGCTACAATTTTCAAGAATTTTTTTTGAATGCTTTCTTGAGAGACTGTTAGACTTAGTACAAGAACTCAGTTAAAACAACAAGAGCAACAAAGCAAATATGTGTGTGTGTGTGTGTGTGTGTGTGTGTGTGTCTCAAGTCAAGTCAAGAGGCTTTTATTGTCATTCCATCTATGTACAAGTACACAGTGGAGTGAAATTATGTTCCTCCAGGAACAACACGGTGCAACAAGGAACAAAAAGTACAAAGTGTGAACGTGCAGACAAGTGTGCAAACAAAAAATTAAACTAGAAACAAACAATAAATATGATAAATTAAACAGACATTAGACAAAGTGAACAGACTTGACAGCGCAGCACCGACAGAGCACAGATTTCTGGACATGAGGTTGTGGAATAAGGTGCAGACATATTTAACATGCTGTGATCTTTAAGTTACGCAGTCAGATAACATACATATACACAGCAGTTACTGAAGTAGTAAAACAGTGTAAACACAGTATTAGCAGCAATGTTCCAGAGGTTTGTGTGATATATCCAGTATTCTGTCCATAAACATCTATAAGCCTACAGTTTAGAACAATAAATACTATCTCTGCTGTGACTGTTGGCCCTGAACCCACCCCAGAATTATGTCTCTCCAAACCTATGACCCTCCAGAATTAATCATTTAAGTCTTTGGCTTAAAGGCCTTTTTTCTTCCTTTTAAGCCTTTATCTTTTCCATGCTTCTCCATTCTACTAGATTCCTCAACATTCTTCCTTTAAAGTAGTGCTTCAAACTGTGAAGTGTTTTATTAACATATATGATAAATACAGTGCTATGACTCATGTTTTAATATATTTTTACCTGAAAGACTGACTAATGTGCATAATATAAAAATGAATAACGCAGTAAACAGAAAAACACTGGATTCATGACAAGTGAATACAGTACTTGTACCAAATTTAAACTTTATTTCATTTAAATATGATATACTGAAATTGTATTTCTGTAGCCGGAGTTAAATTACATCCTTATAGAATAAAGAACTTGTGGTTAGTGTGGTTAGAACTTGTGGTTGTGAAAACAATTTGTCGTAGCATCAACAAATGCAACTTAGTGACTGGGGCTGCACACAGTTAAATTGAGATGCAGTGTGGCTGCATCAAGATAAATTACAGACTAAATTGAACATCCTAAATGTTCACAAGCTTGATTTTCATGAGACATTTTTTGTATTGTTATTTATTTATTTAATTATATATTGTTTTTTGAAAGCAACAGTCAAAAAGACAATATCAATGTTTATGTGCTTGAAGCTCATCCTTTGTTGGGTAACTGAAATACCTGGACACTGAAATAAAAAACAGGCTAGTGGAAAGAAATAACAGCGTTAGAGTAGTAACCTAAAATGCCCTACTGACATGATTTTTACATCTTATGAGAATACATCAGAGGATTCCAGATTCTAGCACATTTCTAATATGAATGCAGGTTTGTTTACAGTCACAAGTTCCATATATATGTAGTAAAATGTCAAAAATCATACTGAACATACTGGATGCAAGAACACATTATTTTTTAAACAGCCAGCTTGGCAGAAATGCACTTGCTATTGTAATGTTTTAGGCTTTAAGTTGAATGAATTATTAGAAGATTCACTAAAAACTGCAACATACGACAGGGGGACCATGTTAGCCTTCTGAATGAATGCTTTTATAAAATGAATTATGGCTACAAACTTTCACTTTTTTAGTGATGGACATTTTGACATGGCTGCCAAACATTCTCTTAAGTGCTGTTTCTCTGTATTTATTACACCCTTACCATTAATTATATGATATTATGCCATGATACATCTGATTCACATTTAGTCACAATTGGTCTTTTTTTTTTAACAGATTATGCTTGAAGTAGCCAATTTATATTGAAATGGGGCATAAAATCACACGCAATGACACGGACATGGTGGTGGCGTGTTAGTTTGTGTTGCACTGGTACGAGTGAATCAGACACAGCAGTGCTGCTGGAGTTTTAAACACCTCAATGTCATTGCTGGATTGAGAATAGTCCACCAACCAAAAATATCCAGCCAGCTGTGTCCTGTGACCACTGATGAAGGACTAGAGGATGACCAACACAAACTGTGCAGCAACAGATGAGCTACTGTAAATGACTTTACATCTACAAGGTGGACCAACAAGGTAGGAGTGCCTAATAGAGCAGATGGTGAGTACAGTGTCTAAACTGCAGCAGCACTGCTGTGTCTGATCCACTCGTACCAGCACAACACACACTAACACACCACCACTATGTCACTGCAGTGCTGAGAATGATGCACCACTGAAATACCCGCTCTGTGGTTGTCCTGTGAGGGTCCTGACCACTGAAGAACAGGGTAAAAGGGAGCTAACAAACTATGAAGAGAAACTGTAGAACTACAAAGTGCACCTGTGTGATAAGTGGAGCTAATAAAATGGACAATGAGTGTCAAAACGAGGTGGATTTAATGTTATGGCTGATTGGTGTATGCTCAGAGGAAATACTAATGTGTTCTCTGTAGCTGCCCCAGATGCTCTTTAAAATCCCAAGTGAGGAATTACAAACCTATTTTCTAACAAGACGCACTGCAAAAGCTGGTTAGAAGTTGAAAGAAATATTGGCAGAAGAAATATTCTGAACTGTGGATCTGATGTACTGTGCTGTGCTGTAGCTAAAGTTTTTAATCAATTAGTTATATTAGCTTATCTACAGCAAAAGAATGGATTCTGGGTTCAGGAGAAGTCAATCCTCAATGAGCCAATGTTAACACACTTCTGTGTTCACTGACATCAGCTACCTAATTAGCTTTGTTAATGTCTGCTTGTGTCATCATTTTATTTCTGAAAATCCTTTACAACTCAAGCACTACTGCCAGGCGTTTTAGCCGATGTAGTATACATACGTGTCTTGTGGGATAAGGCTTAATAGGGAACACTTTGAAGGGAGGGGCTGTATTTTAGCTAAATTCTACCAAAATCATACATCCACCTTTAACAAATGACAAGAGAATTTCTAGTGCATAGTTAACTGTACTTTCAAATTTTTCATGCAGGAATGGATTTTTCAGAAAATTCACCTGAGTATCTCCAGTACACAGTTTGAACTCTTCAATCCAGCAGTGAGCAGCTTCCCTTCTGAGTCCTGCAGGCCAGTGTAACTGAGGTCCAGTTCTTTCAGGGGTGAGTTTGTTGATTTCAGAGCAGAGCACAGAGTTTCACAGGAGTGCATGGTGAGTTTACAGTTAGCTAGTCTACAAGACAAACAGTTACAGTTAAAACAGAGAAAGTGGAATTCAAGCTCAAAGGAATCAGAATTAATAAGATTTATATGGAAAATAGCACTTTGAGTATTAGGGGTGTTTCCATTATATTCATTCAGAAAAGTATACATAATGGGCTCAATCTGAATATTTGTTCCATGTGAAAAATTCCAAAACTCTCTTTTGTAGAGATAAAATGAGAAAGACAGTGAGTTGACGCTTGATAACAGCTTTTATATTTGTTTCACAGACCATATTTGCAGCCCACTGCATTGTGGTAAAGTGGATGTCACAGTATCCGTGGCCAGACTCCGCCCTTTCCAGTCTCCACCCTGCTCTGTCTCAGTTCCATTCTAGCTCCACCCTTCTATCATCTCTTTAACCTGTGTCTAGTCTGTAGCGCCTCCTTGAAATGACTGTCTCAGCTGCATTTTACCTGCCTTTATATAAAATCCTTGTCAGCCCCAGTATGGGAATTTAGGTAATATTGTTCACATATCAAATGGGTTCTTTGTATCAATTAGCTTAATTCAGTCTGTACATTCGTTCTTGATATGTTTGTTTTACATTTTATTCAAATTTTTGTTTTGCTCATTTACATATTCCTGTGTTTTTCATTTCTGCCTGGGCATCAATTCCTATTTCCTCATCTGGACTTTAAAAACAAAACTTGTGCACACATCCTGCCTCGTCACCCATTTTTCCTGCTGGTGTGGTACAGCAGCAAATATTATTTAACAATGCTTCTGTAATTCCTTCATAGGATGATGCCAAGGTGTTTCACATGTTTACTGTCAATACTGTTCATTTCTTGTGTTTCAAAAATGTGGTACATTAAATGTTGATGTTATCACTTCTATAATACTTTGTGGTGTTACTTTTATTTCTACATTGCAAACATGGTTCTGTATAAACAGTTTAAATTTGGTGATTAAATCTATGTGAATTCTGTGCCTGTGAAAATAATAATGTTACCCCATTTACTATTAATATTATGTTAATCATACAACCCCATTTCCAAAAGAGTTGGGACACTGCAACATGTAAATAAAAAACAAAATGCAGTGATGTGCAAATCATTTAAACCCTACATTTAATTGAAAATAGTACAAATCAAATGTTGAAACTGATACATTTTATTGGTTTTTGAAAAATACATGCCCAATTTGAATTTTGATGCCACACATTCCAAAAAAGTTGGGACAGGGGCAACAAAAGGCTGGTGAAGTTGTGTAATGCAAAAAAAAACATCTGGTGGTTGACTGGCAACAGGTCAGTAACATGACTGGGTATAAAAAATCACTGCATGGGCACAGAAACACTTCTGATAACCAATGTTTGTGAAAACAATTTGTCGCAGCATCAACAAATGCAACTTAAAACTCTAAAATGCAAAGAAGAAACCATATGTAAGCAGGATCCAGAAACATCACCACCTTCTCTGGCCCAGGCTCATTTAAAATGGACTGAGGGGAAATGGAAAAGTGTCCTGTGGTCCGACAAACCAACATTTGAAATTCTTTTTGGAATTCTTTCATGGACGCTCTGTCCTCTGGGCTAAAGACCACTAAGCTTGTTATCAGTGCACAGTTCAAAAGTCAGTATTCATGATTGTATAGGGGGGCATTAGTGCATATGGTATGCGTGACATGCACATCTGTGAAGGCACCATTAATCCTGAATGATATATACAGGTTTTGGTAACCTGCTGCCATTCAGAGGATGTCTTTTTTCAGGGAAGGATTTGCTTTTTTCAGCAAGACAATGTAAAACCACATTCTGCATGTATTACAACAGCATTGCTCCATATTAAAGGGGTCCAGGTGCTAAACTGACCTGCCTGCAGTCCAGACCTGTCACCACTGGCGCATTTGGCACATTATGAAATGAAAAATACAACAAAAGAGACTCCGAATTGTTGAGCAGCTGAAATCCTATATCAAACAAGTATGGGAATCCATTTCTCCTTTAAAACTACAGCAATGTCTCTTCAGTTCCCAAATGCTTACAGAGTGTTGTTAAAAGAAGAAGTGATGAATCACAAGTGGTAAACATGCCTAACAGACATAATTTTCAAAAAAAAACAAAATTTCTCAGTTTCAACATTTGATTTGTTGTCTTTGTAGTATTTTTAATTAAATATAGGGTGTAAATGATTTGCACATCAATGCATTTTGTTTTTATTTACATTTTGCACAGTGTTCCAACTTTTTTGGAAATGGGGTTGTACAAGAATAATATGATTATTAGAGGCACAACAATGGTTAAGAAGCCAAACCCACTTATATGGGTTCCATTCAGTAAATACACCAACTTCCACCAACTCACATCCATTTTCAGTTACGTCCAGTTTCTAAACAAATAAATAATATTTTTGTCCATAGAATCAATACAAATAGATTTTGTCCATATAATAAATACAATAGCAAAGTCTCTAAACAACAAGGGTGTAAGAAAATCAAAACTGCACCAAAAAATTTAACAATAAAAATTTAAAAACATAACTCTAAATGACAGTATGTCATTAGCCATCTTTTGTAGACATCGCTGTCAACCAAAACTAGGCCAGTGCATCTGACCAGAGTAATGTGAAAGCCTACTAGAAAGCCTCTATTTTGTGAAGTGCCTGGCACAACGATTGAAAGTTCTGTTTAAGAATATGTATGTATCGGAGCAGGCTTGTGACATTTTGCAGAGCAGGGGGAAAAAAGGGTATGCTGACCATGTTTTAAGCTTTACTAAATTTACAGCATAGTAAGTGTTAAGTGTTTTGCCAATGTCAGAAAAAATATTAATACTGCTATCAGTAATATGTGTTTGAACCACATTCTCTTTCAAAAAAGGTTGTATCATTACCCACTGTGCTACTTAAAACAGCACTATTTCTTTTTTTTTATGAAAACTGAAAGAGGTAGCATTTCTAAGTATGGAGAAAAAAGAACACACTAAATATGGTGAGTGTGCGCCACTGTGAGTCACCCTGTAAAGGCTGAAATATTAATTTATAAAAGGTACTGGGACAGATTTTGTGGGAGTTTTCGGAACACAGCATACATTCTTACATTTTAATGTCATACGCACAGTAAAAAAAAAAAAAAAGGTCTGACTCCATGTTTAGAGCTCGGATTCAAAATCAACATTATATTGATGAAAATGACAATAGTGGATAATTCACAACTTCAGAAGACACGTTCACAACCTTCACCAAGTTTTCATTGTGTTCTTTTCAAATACTCTTTCTACGCACTCGCAAAATTCAAGTTAATTCAGTTGTGGGGGTCCGAAGCACAACTGACGTTACAAAATGTTCCTCCACATGTTGCGTGCAATTACATACAGCTAGTATCCCATTTCACTGTTGTTTGTTTGGTTGCTCATTATAATGACTTCATGGAATGTTTTATCAGTGGGATTTCCAGCACTGTGGTGATGTGTCCATCTGGCCAGGGATACTGAGATTAAATTTCATCAAATGGTGGTAGTGCATGTAAACTGAACATCCCTAATATATACACTGAAAAGGTTTGTTACCTAGATACCTTGTGTATGCACAATTTGCTAGCCATCCTATCTGACTATTTAAAGGAAATATTTGGCAACTTGATCTTCTCAGCCATTAATACTAAAATATTAAAATACATTAATTCGGATGTAATACTTACATAGCCTTTTTGCAGTTGCTCACAGCTGGGATCAATCTCAAATAACCACTCCTGGTTGCGTTGTAATTCTTCAGGTTCAGCTCATCGAACACCTCCTCTGAAGTCACAAGCATGTAGGCCAGTGCTAAACACTCTCCACTAGAGAGTTTCTTTTTGAAGCCTTTCTTGGATTTCAGATATTCCTGGATTTTTTTGGATAAAGACTGGTCATTCATTTCAGTGAGACAGAGGAACAGGTTGATGGATTTCTCTGAAGAAAGATTCTTTGATGGTATTAGGCGTTTGATGTGCAGAACTGTTTTGTTGATGCTCTCTGAGCTGCTTACTGTTTGAGTCAGAAGGTCTTTTAAGAGCTGTTGATTAGACTCCAGTGAAATTCCCAGCAGAAAACGGAGAAATAGATCCAGGTTTCCATTCTCACTCTTTACAGCTTTTTGTACAGCTCCCCTTAGCAGATCTTCCAATGAAATACTGTCAGACTGCTTTGTGTTCTTTATCTTAAAAACTTGCAGTTCCTCCTTGTTCTGGCTCACATAGCAATGAAACACATAGAGAGCAGCCAGGAACTCCTGAAAGCTCAGATGAACAAAGCAGTAGACCTTCTTCTGGTACAGCAAAAATTCTTCTCTAAAGATCTCAGTGCAAATGCCAGAGTACACTGAGGCCTCAGACACATCAATACCGCACTCTTTCAGGTCTTCTTCATAGAACATCACATTGCCCTTCATCAGCTGTTTGAAAGCCAGTTCAGCCAGTTTCAGAAGCAACTTTCTGTTGGATCCCAAGAGATACTTTGGACTTCTCTCATATTTATCCTCATACTTCTCATTCCTCATGATTGTCTGAGTGTTCAGGAAGTGTGAATACATTTCAGTCAGAGTTTTAGGGATTTCTGAAATACCCTGTTTCATTATGTGCTGAAGAACAGTGGCTGAGATCCAACAGAAGACTGGAATGTGACACATGATGTGGAGACTCCTTGTTTTCTTAATGTGTGAGATGATAAAGTCGGCTTGGTCTTGGTCACTGATTCTCTTTCTGAAGTATTCCTCCTTCTGTGGGTCATTAAATCCCTGAATTTCTGTCACACGGTTGATGTACTGACAAGGAATCTGATTGGCTGCTGCTGGTCGAGAGGTTATCCAGATGTGAGCAGAGGGAAGCAGCTCACCTTTGATGAGGTTTGTCATCAGCACATCCAGTGGTGACTCCTTGGTTATGTCTGACAGGTTCTTACACTGTAAGAAGTTCAGTGGAATTCTGTTTTCATCCAGGCCATCAAATATGAACACTATTTTACACTCATCATATATCTTTGTGTCCAGATCTCTGAGCTCAGGATGGAAGTCACACAGAAGTCTATGAAGACTGTACTGGTGATCTTTAGTCAGGTTCAGCTCTCGGAATGGAAGAACAAACATCAAATCTACATCCTGATTGGCTTTTCCTTCAGCCCAGTCCAGAATGAACTTCTGCACAGAGACTGTTTTTCCAATGCCAGCAATGCCTTTAGTCAGCACAGTTCTGAGTTTCTGCACTTGTGGACCTTTATCTTCTTCTCTTCCTTCATGTTTGACATCTTCAGCCATCACAGTTCTGATGCTGTCTTCTTCCATTTCTTCTACAGTGCACTGTACAGGTTTAAAGATTCCTAAGCAGTTAATTGGTGTATCTTGCAAGTGCTGGTTCCAGAGTGTTTTTTCAATCTGTAAAACTTCATGTTCTTCATTCACTCCTTCACTCTCTCCCTCTATGATGTAGAGCTGAGTGTAAATCCTGTTCAGGAGGGTTTTATTCTCTTGTGTTTTGAATCCCTCAAATAAGCTCTCGTATCTGTTCTTCATGCTGGTTTTGTGTCTCTGTATGACTCTGTGCAGGACATCACCCACTGCTTCCTGCTTCATGGACTCCTCTATGTGTTGATACAGAACAGGACGTGTTTTAAACCTCTTTCTACAGTGGGGACAGACAAAGTCACCTGACTGAGCAGACTGGTTCCAATAGCTGTTGATGCACTGTCTACAGAATGTGTGTCCACAGGTGATAGAGACTGAATCTGTCTGAATCTGCTCACACAATCCACACTTGGACTGATCCTGAAGTGATGATTCCCCACCACAGCTAGAGGAGAGAGAGAGATGATGGAAGAGTAAATATGTGCTTTTTACTCTTTGACCAGTCCTATGTTCAGGCACCTAATAGCATTTTCAGACACAAAGCCCACTACATTGCCAGCATGTCTTTAACCAGTAATGTGCAGTCTTTGCATAATTCAAAGTGTCAGCCCTTAAATAGTACTTTACCAAGATGCACGTAACCACATTCACATTTGTCATGCAAGCCTTGAGGCCATTTTAAACGGTATGTGACAACTTAAATGGCTCATTCATGTACAAAATATACTTTATGTGAAAACTCAACTGTAAAAATGAAAGTGTCAAAGATACACATGACTTTACTGCCTTGTTTTTTGCACAGTAGCAGCCACATGTGCACTAAGAGTGCACAGACTGCTTCTTTTGAGCTGTATGCCATTAGAGTAATGTACAAACTACATTTCTGTACTGCAAAACCAAAAACTCGACTATAAACACGGCCATAATCAAAGATGCCACTGTATTTTCTGGTAATTTATCAGCTTCTGTTCACCAAACCAGTAATTTTCCAGGAACTGTAATAAGTCTACATATATATATATATATATATATATATATATATATATATACACATATGTCTTGTGAAGGTGTCAATAGTACTGGGATTTCAACTCCAGCTTTCATGATTAATTACTGTTAAATGCCTCTGTAAAAGTGCATGTGAGAAAGATAAATTAATAATCTTCAACTAGGTTAGCATGAATACTAAACTTCCTAAAAATATTCAAAAACATGAATCATTATACAAACTATGAAAGCAGTGTGTGCTTTGTCCCCATTCACTAAAGCTTTTTCACACATACCAAAATTTGTGAGTTCAGCATTAAGGAACAGATAATGTAGGACTGCAAAATAAAAAAGTCAGCTGTCAGGAAAGATAAGAAAACCATTATCACTTTAGCTCTAAAGTACATGCTGCTGTCATTTATCGTCTTGGTGTACATGCTGTGTTTGTGTCTCACCTCAGGTCAGTTCTGTTTTTTTCATTACTGAATAAAGGAGGCTCAAGCAGTGATCTCTGCAATCTGGAAATGTGATGTAGAAACACAAAAAAAGTTGAATATGGAAATTTTTACAAATTTGCATCAGACAGCTGCTATCACAAATGGAAAATGAAAAACAGGTTATATGCGTCAACGGCCTTCAGTCTATCAACAAAGCTGCAATAAGTGGGTCTCTTAGTGTTTTACCAGACCTAGGCCCAAACCCATTTCTTATTTTTACCCCTACCCCTTGTTTTCGAGTGTCACCTTGCCCCTTGGAACTGAGTTATAAGTGCTAGTGGTTGAAATCTTCCCCAAGAAATGGGACCCTCAAGTAAAAAAGAACATTACTTAATTTACAGGCTACTAGTGGTGCTCCGTAGGGGACCCTGCCGGTCTGCAGTGATAGCAGAGGAGAGTAAAGTTCAGCAACATCACTGCTGGGCTTTAGTCACATTTAGGGAATCATATGCCTTCAGAGAGGGGGATGGTACAAGTATTTATTATTGCCTAGCCCATAATTCTTCAGTGATATAAAGCTGAAATCATCAATTCACCAGCTTCTTGTTCGAATTTACTTGTTCCACCTTAAAAGGTGGAACGGGAAATTTAGCTAGCTAGCTACTGAGACATCAGCATGCTATTAGCGTTTTTTTATGCTTGTTATGAAGAAAAGGGCCATAATAGACATTAAACGACATAGAAACGACATTAAACTAAGGTAACACAATGGTTGTCGTAATTTTTTAACAGACAAATTTCTCACATTTGTGGGTTTCTTTGGTCTGTTGTTAAGCCATCGTGCTGGTTTTTCTTTTTTTCTCATAACACTCCGTTTGGAGTGGGCCTCTGTAATGGCTGATGAATGTTCAGACGAGCGCAGAGCAGGCTATAGTAAACAGTGTTTTAATGCAGGGAGAATCCAAAATCAAAGTACAAGCAGTCGAGGGTCGGTACACACGAAATCAAAACAGAGTCCAAAAGGATAAGGATAAAGTTGTAAACAGAAACAGGCAGAATCTCAAAAACCGGAAAGTCAATATACATAAACAAGGCTCGGTAATGCACAGGGATTGTAACAATACTTCACAAAGACAAAGCACTAGAAGACAAACATTTATAGTCCTTGAAACAGGTGTAAACAATCAATACTCAGGTAAGCGCGAACGTTACAGAAGGCTTGACAGCCTCCTCACTCTCTCTATAACGTGCAAAACAGGGTAGGGTAGGGGCAAGGGGTGAAATGGGATTGGGCCTTAGTGTAGACCAATACATATACAGAGAATGAGAGACTTTGCAGACCTCAAATTAACAGTCATGTAATACAGTCTATCTCTTTGGACACATTCAAATATATAGAAGTGTATAGAAAAAATACACTTCTAGTGGTCATTCACCATACTCAATTTATTTGTGCAGGATGAAGCACATTAGTCTATTTCAGGTAACTGTAATTTATTTCAGGTAATGTAATGAGTACTTATAACTGCAATCAAAGTGGGAATTACAGTATACCCTTCTCTGAGGCAGTTATTGTGTTGCTCTGACCTACATGATAACAGATGAGATCTGATGCATAAGTATTATAACTTTTTTATCTTATTCTGTCTCTATGTGCTCTATCTGTGTTGTTTGTTCATATGTCTTTCTTATTTGTTGCACATGAATCTGTTAGATCCAAAGGCGTGGAATTTTGAAATGGAATTTCAGTATTTCTAGAAGGAAACTTTAAATCTTAAAGCTGGGGTGTCCAATATCATCCACAGAGGGCTGGTCTGGTTGCAGGTGTTCGTTGCAACAGAGCAGAGCACACATGAACAGTTATTTAAGAAAACAGAGACTGACTGATTAAACGAGTGCAATCAGGTGTGCTCTTCTGTTTTGGAACGAAAACCTGCACCCACACCGGTCATTTACGGATAAGATTTGTCATCCCTGTTTTAAAGCTTTAGGTTTTACTGAATTCTGAAAGAATCAAGAATGTTCATGTTATAATCTGTGTTCTTTATATAGTTTCCTGCTATCTGATTTGGTGAGATATGGGACTCTGGAATTTTATGGTCCAAAATTTGCCTTGACTGGATATGACTTTGTCCAGTGGTGGCGCTGTGCTCAGTCTCTCCCTCTTTTTCCTCTCTCTCTTCTCCTCTGCTCTCATCTTCATGTGACCATGTTCTCTTGTGTAAAATTGATTCTCTCCAGTAAAGCCATTTGAACAGCTGGCACGTAATCTTTTTTTTTTATGAAACCACTGAGTCTTTATCAGTGCTTCCAGCTTGATAATCATAAATCAGGGACCTGCACTTCTTCTTTGGATAGACTGAGAGCTTAACCTTTTTTTTCCTCATATCATTTCACACCTGATTTACAGCCACATTGTCACATCAGTAGTGCCAGACATACTAGGTCAATTATGTGGACATGCATGTAAACAATGCTGTGTAGAATGCTGCCAGCTGCATTCTACACAGTATAGGTAAGATGTGGTCCAAGTGCAAGAAAAGCTAAAAGATGCTTCCTGAAGATTCTCACTACCTATATCTCACCTCTGGTCAGTACTGGTCTTTTCATTACTAAAATTAGGAGGCTCAAACATCTTCACAGATACAGAGTTGGGCTCCTGGAGCCAGGAAAGAGTTAAATGGGGGTTACCATTCAATATACTATGTATGTACTCAGGTGTAAAGAGTAAACTTTATTACTGTGCATTTTGAGTTCTAACAGTTTTTAATAATACATTATAACAGCAGGCGCTGATCTCTTTCATATCACACCACATGGCCCTCAGGTTATTTTACCACAATGTGAAATAAAACTGTTACAGCAGGGGTGTGAATCTTTGAACTGACTGTGAAAGGTTTCATCCATGATTAATTGGTTTTCAATTTAAATCAAAGTTGATGTTTGTAAATACACTAAACAGCGATACAACACAATGATTCAGTTCTACGATTCTTACGCTTCTTTAAGAAATACTGTAATGCATTTAAAATAGTCCTAAAAGACTTTCCAAAATATTTTTCAGGCAAAAATGGAATCAGTCAAATTACTTTACAGTAAAGGTAAAGGTAAAGCCAAAGAGCATGCTTTTATTACACTTGAATATACGCAAAGTGTGCTTGTGTTTGTGTGTGTGTCTAAGGAATCTGATGATACACAAAAGTCTCCCAACTTCGCCTCCAGAGGCCACTATCACCTCAGTACTGAGAGGTTTACCAACCCTTTTTGAGTCAGCTTAAAGGCGCAGTATACAGTTTTATAGAAAGACTTTTGATGTTTTAACTCAACAGCAAAACAAATATACCAGGAAAACCCCCTTCAGATGATGTATTGTGAAGATGGCAATTTTTTTTTAAAGACTGCAAAAACTAGGTTGCCAACTAGGTCAGGCTGACACTGCTTTCTATGATCTCTTTGACACTTCATCAGTACTTCTAGCTCGATAGTTACAATAGGGATCCACATTTCTATGACAGAAACAGAGTTTAAATGTCCTTTTCTCACATAATTTTACACCAACTCTGCAGCCATATAGTCACCTCAGTGCCACGTATACTAGGTAGATCAGGTAATCATGTATGTAAACAATGCCATTAGTACTGGCAGCTACACGATCCATAGTAAGAAGTGGCGATGTATTCTGAGTGCAAAAAAAAGATATCATATTTTGTTTGTCTCACCTCAGGTCAGCACTGGTTCTGTCATTACTGAAATTCTGAGGCTCAAACATTGAATTGTTGCTCTTCAAAGACACACAGCTGGGTTCTGGAGGTTCTACTCTCAATGCCTGCAGTCTGGAAATGCAATGTAGAGACACACTCGGTACATCAGGTGGTCATGCATGCAAAAAATGTCATTAATAGTGGCAGTGCGAAGAGGAGATGTTGTCCAAGTGCAAGAAAAGACAAAGGGACGTTTCCTGACAAACTCCCTATCATGTTGTGTTTGTGTCTCACCTCAGGTCAGAACTGGTTCTGTCATTACTGAAATTCTGAGGCTCAAACATTGAGTTGTTGCTCTTCAAAGACACACAGCTGGGTTCTGGAGGTTCTACTCTCAATGCCTGCAGTCTGGAAATGCAATGTAGAGACACACTCGGTACATCAGGTGGTCATGCATGCAAAAAATGTCATTAATAGTGGCAGTATGAAGAGGAGATGTTGTCCAAGTGCAAGAAAAGACAAAGGGACGTTTCCTGACAAACTCCCTATCATGTTGTGTTTGTGTCTCACCTCAGGTCAGAACTGGTTCTGTCATTACTGAAATTCTGAGGCTCAAACATTGAATTGTTGCTCTTCAAAGACACACAGCTGGGTTCTGGAGGTTCTACTCTCAATGCCTGCAGTCTGGAAATGCAATGTAGAGACACACTCGGTACATCAGGTGGTCATGCATGCAAAAAATGTCATTAATAGTGGCAGTGCGAAGAGGAGATGTTGTCCAAGTGCAAGAAAAGACAAAGGGACGTTTCCTGACAAACTAAAACTCCCTATCATGTTGTGTTTGTGTCCCACCTCATGTCAGAACTGGTTCTTTCATTACTGAAGTTAGGAGGCTCAAACATCGAGTTGTTGCTCTTCAAAGATATACAGCTGCGCTCTAGAGGTTGTGCTCTGAATCGCTTCCAGCTGGAAATGTGACACAACAGTCACACGAAAGAGTTAAAGCATCTCTCCAGACAAAATAAAAATGCAACCATTGATACATCTGTATTAAACATGTCTACTGATGTCCTACAGCAATAAGTACATCAGGTAACCATGCAAGTAAGCAATGTTATTATTAATGGCAGCTGCACAATCCACAGTAAGAAGTGGAGATGCAGTTCAAGTGCAATAAATGATGCTTCCTGCCGAAACTCACTACCATTTTGTGTTTGCATCTCACCTCAGGTCAGTACTGGTTCTTTCGTTACTGAAATTTGGAGGCTCAAACACTGAGTTGTTGCTCTTCAACGACACACAGCTGTGCTCTGGGGGTTCTGCTCTGAATGTCTGCAGTCTGGAAACATGATGTGAAGACAAGAAAAATATTTTTTATATTTTAAATATTTTTAAATTACTTTATATATAAATATTTTGTTTAGATTTGAGGACAGCAAAATCAGACAAGGGATAATACAGACGAAAAGTTGAAGAGATATTTGCAGATCACCGGTCACCAATCAATCAAGATGTGAATATTTGACTAGTTAGTTATTGGGGACTATTAAGGAGTAAAAGGATATATGCTAGATGACTAGGGCTGCACATTACAGACAAAAAATGCAAAGTGCAATAAAGGTGTTGGAGATTGTTTTGATTATATGAGATCCTCCCATATCAACCAAGCACACAGCAGAAAAATATATTGCAATGATAAAAATACAATTAATCATGTAGCCCTAATGTACACAAACAATGAGTGTTTCAGCTCGTTAAGTTCATTAAAAAGTTGATGCTGCTTGTATTCAAGTTTTAGCACACAGGTATACACTGTATGTTTTGTTTGTATTTGACTCTGTTTCAGTGCACTGTTTTAATTATTACTGCATTATAATAACTGGTGTTCATCTCTTTCATACCAGTCCATATGTGCCTCATGTCATGTTCCCACAAAGAGCAATGAAGTTGGTTGATTTTAGGAATGTTAATCTTTGCACTGATTGTCAATCAATTTTATTCACAATTCACTAGTTTCTGATTCAATTCAGAGGTGATTTTTCTAAACTAAGAATGATTTGAACTGATGCAATACACTAACTAGCGATTCCATTCAGTGAATCAATTCACTGATTTAAGCCTCTTTCAGAAACATCAGAACTGAAAGTGCTCCTAAAAGACATTCCCAAACATTTCTTATGCAAAAACTGAAATTACTTTCTAGTAATCACAATAATGAGTGTGCAGTCAGCGTATGTATGGAGTGGATTCTTCAAGAGACTTTTATTTTGATGATGATGTCATCAGCTTCGTATCACAGTTCAGGAAGTATACTAGCAGAAAATGAGGGAAGAGCCTCATGGTGTTCCATGTATCATAATCCTTGTTCATCTGTTACATTTTGTGCCTTGAGGATGCACTGCCAGTATGTTAGTTTGTGAACATAAATCTTAATTCATGTTTTGTTTGCTGAAACTCACTACCATGTTGTGTTTGTGTCTCACCTCAGGTCAGTACTGGTTTGTTCATTCCTCAAATTAGGAGGCTCAAACATCGAGTTACTGCTCTTCAAAGACACACAGCTGGGCTCTGGAGGTTCTGCTCTGAATCTCTTCCAGCTGGAAATATGACAAAATAAAAAGTGACGTTTTCCCAAAAATAAAAAATGCATCCATTATATGTGTTGTAAACATGGCAACAAATGTCCTAAAGTGGTGCTGTGGTAGCCTCTAGATCAGAATTATCAGGTTTGAATACTGAGAAAACCACTTTCTGATAAAAAGCCACTTTCTGATAGAAAGTTTCAATATTCTTTTTCTCACATCATTTCACACCAGCTATACATTGTCAGATCCAATGGGGTGAAATTTTGAAATGGGATTTTCATTGTTTCTAGGAGGAAATTTAAATCTTAAGGCATTAAGTTTTACTGGGTTGGACAGAATCAAGAATGATCATATACTGTAATAAGTGTTCTTTGTGTGTGTGTGCACCAAAGAAAGAATCCAAATTTTGTTCAACGATGATGCATGTAAATCTTTTTTTTCATCACTGACTTGTGCATTTTAAAATATTAGGTAATTAAAATGACCTGGTCTAAGAACACTTCTTTCAGAGGAAGCATTTTAACATCTACATACTGCTAACAATGTGTCAGTGGTTCTTCTCATTATGACTACAAGAAGGCAGGGTTTAAATCTCAGGTGAGCTTAGCTATACAGCCAGGTTTTTGTCTCAGCAGTGCCAGGCACACTAGGTATATCAGGTGGTCATGCAAGTAAGAAGTGGAGTGCAAGAAATGCTAACAGGATGCTTCCTGAGAAACGTTCTGCTGAAACACACTACCGTGTTGTGTTTGTGTCTCACCTCAGGTCAGTACTGGTTCTTTCATTCCTCAAATTAGGAGGCTCAAACATCGAGTTATTGCTCTTCAAAGACACACAGCTGGGCTCTGGAGGTTCTGCTCTGAATCTCTTCCAACTGGAAACATGACAAAGAATTACTCTGACATTTTCACAAAAATAAAAAATGCATCCATTGCTACATGTGTTGTAAACATGCCAACTAATGTCCTAAAGTGGTGCTGTGGTAGCCTCTAGATCAGAATTTTCACTTTCTGATAAAAAGCCACTTTCTGATGGAAAGTTTCAATGTTCATTTTTTTCTTACATCATTTCACACCAGCCATACAGCCACATCATCACCTCAGTAATGCCAGACACACTATATACACATCAGGTCACTGGAAAACACAGCATTGTCTCAAAATTACAAGTACCCTTTTTGATGACCTCTAAATGGTTAATATGCCAAAAATATGCAATATGATATGCACAAACTGACTTCAAAACACTTAAATTTCACAATGTGCAAGAGTGTACAATTATTGTACAACCTTCACACACAATGGGACATTATTCCCAACATAAGCTGATGTGCATAAAACTGTCAGATCCAAAGGGATGGACTTTGAAATGGAATTTCCATTGTTTCTAGGAGGAGATTTTAAATCTTAAGGCATTAAGTTTTACAGGGTTGGACAGAATCAAAAACGATCATATATTGTAATAAGTGTTCTATTACAGCAATGGTTATGCGTACTTGTAACTACTGAACACGCCTGGGGAATCATAGTTACCTCTGGGTTACAGCCCATTATATTAACATTAAAAAAATGCATTCACATGCTTTGACTGTCATGAAAACGGAGTAGAGACATCATGCTGAGGCGTGCACCGAATATACCATGGTTGTAGCATAGCAGTGGAACACTGAAAATAAATTAAGAGCACTTTGTAATATAACTTTAATATAATGCACTGTTCTTAATATAACTCCGACATACTTAAAAAAGCTTTTGATGTGGCTACATTTCAACACACTAAATATTAAGTTGAATCGCAATTAACTACCCAAATTTACGACATTCATGGAATATTTTTTAATCGCTCGACAGCCTTAATTAAAAGTGTTTCTAAAAGGCTTCCCTAAATATTTCTCAGCCAAAAACTAAATCAGTCAACGTATAACTTGTTACTTACAGTTGATTGATTATCTCAACAAAGGTAATTTCAACGGAACATGCTCTAATTAGGCTAAATTGCCTGGATGAAGTCTACACTTAAAATACAAAAATTTCTCACCTCAGGTCAGTACTGGTTCTTTCATTACTGAAATTAGGAGGCTCAAACATCGAGTTATTGCTCTTCAAAGACACATAGCTGGACTCTGGAGGTTCTACTCTGAATTTCTGCAGTCTGGAAAAGTGATGTACAAAAAAAAAGTTAAATGTGGATATTTGATGTCAACAACAGACAACTGATAATACAGATGAAAAGTAGCAAAGATATTTGGAGATCACTGGTTACCATTCAGTCAAGACAATTGAATATTTGACTAGTTAGTTATCTGGGACTATTAAAGAATGGAATGATGTATGCTAGTAGAGAATGGCTACACATTACAAACACAAAATGCAGATTGTGTTGATGACATGAGATCCCTCCGTATTAAGCAAGCACACAGCAGAAAAAACACTGTGATGATGATATAAATATGGTTAATAATACAGCCCTAACGTACACAAACTGTGAGTGTTTCAGTTAAGTTAATTTAAAAATCGACGCTGCTCGTTTTCAAGTTTTAGCACACAGATATACACTGCACGTACTCAGGTGTAAAGAGTGTGAAGAAAATTATCTGCAATATGGTACATGTTTTAATTCTTACTGCATTTATATATAATAACTGGTGTTGATCTCTTTTATACCAGTCCATATGTGCCTCATGTTATGTTCCCACAATGCGCAGGGAAGTTGGATGGTATTAGAGGTGTGACTCTTTGAAATGACTGCCAATTAATTTTAATCACAATTCACTGTTAGTTCTTAGTTCTTAATTAATTCAGGGGTGATTTTGTAAATTAAGAACCATTTGAATTGATGTAATACACGAAACGGCAATTCCATTCATTGATTTAAGCCTCTTTCAGAAACATTAGAACTGAAAGTGTTCCTAAAGGACATTCCCAAACATTTCTTATGTAAAATATGAATCACAATTGTTGCAATCCCACTTTAATGCAGTTAAAATGCCATTAATGCAGGTTCTATACGACCCTCTGAATCACATGTAGTTCAAGCTGAAAATTGTATGCAAGCCTTTAAATGATTTACATTGTACTGGAAATCACTCTATGCTCTTTGAATCTGTGAATAATGGAGAAAGGCCTCCTGAATAGGAAGTTCCATTTCAACTTTATAATTACAGTAATGAGCACTGTAACAAGGTAATTCCAAAGAAGCATGTTCCAATTAGAAAAAAATTACCTTGACACAGGCTATACTAATATAAACAAAGGTGTGTGCTTGTGTGGATCAAAGAATAAATCTGAATGTTGTCTAATGATGTGTCTTGTCAGTGGTTCTTTCTATTATGACTGAACGAAGGAAGGGTTTAAATCTCAGGTGGGCTCAGCTATACAGCCAGGTCATGGTCTTAGTAGTGCCAGGCACACCAGATATATCAGGTGGTCATGCATGTAAACAATGGTATTATTAGTTGTAGTAAGAAGTGGAGATGTTGTCCAAGTGCAAGAATACAAGAAATGCCAAAAGGATGTTGAGGACCTGAGAAATCATGCTGTATTTGTGTCTCACCTCAGGTCAGTACTGTTTTGTTCATTACTGAAATTCTGAGGCTCAAACATTGAGTTGTTGCTCTTCAAAGACACACAGCTGGGCTCTAAAGGTTCTCCTCTGAATCTCTTCCAGCTGGAAATGTGAGAAAAAGAAGAGTTACAGTGACATTTTCCTGCAACATGAGTTTTAAACATGCCAACTAATGTCCTACCGCAGTGCTGTGGTAGTCTCTAGATCAAGATTTCCTGGTTTAAGATAAGATAAGATAAGATAATCCTTTATTAATCCCACAACGGGGAAATTTGCGGTGTTACAGCAGCACAGAAGACAGAGCAGCAGGAAATATACAAACAATATATAAAATAGAATAAACAATAAAAATATAAAGATATATGTATATGTACAAAAATTACAAGAAAAATATACAAAGTATTAAATTTAAATTTAGAAATGTAGAAATGTATGTATTGTAGTGAGTATTGCACAGTGAATAAAATAGCAAATAAATAAACAGTAATAAATGGAGAAATATTGCACTTGACATAATTGCACATAATGGTGGTAAACATATTGACAGTGATCCGCAGTGAATATACTACGCATGGTGGATTGAGATATTGCACACAGTAAAGTGCTATGGCAGTGATGTTGAGAGTTCTTGCACATGGAAAGTAATTGTAAACTACTGTCTACTGAGTGCCGTGACTGTTATAGAGTCTGACAGCGGCTGGGAGGAAGGACCTGCGGTATCTCTCCTTCACGCACCGCGGGTGCCGCAGCCGGGCACTGAAGGAGCTGCTCAGTGCTGTCAGAGAGCGGTGCATGGGGTGGGACAGGTTCTTCAGCATGTTTGTTAGTTTAGTCCTCATCCTCCTGTCCCCCACCACCTCCACTGGGTCAAGAGGACATCCCAGGACAGAGCTGGACTTCCTGATGATCTTATTCAGTCTCTTCCTGTCAGCAATGGAGATGCTGCTACCCCAGCACACCACTCCATAAAAAATGGCTGATGCCACCACAGCGTCGAAGAAGGTCCTGAGAAGTGCCCCCTGCACGCCAAAGGACCTGAGTCTCCTCAGGAGATGTAGCCTGCTCTGGCCTTTCCTGTAGAGGGCAGCTGTGTTGTCAGTCCAGTCCAGCTTGTTGTTGAGGTGAACACCCAGGTACTTATAGGACTTCATAATCTCAATGTCCATTCCCTGGATGTTCACAGGCACTGGAGGAGAATGTTTGGACTTGCGGAAGTCCACCACCAGCTCCTTGGTTTTTCCTGCGTTGATCTGCAGGCAGTTCCTCTGGCACCATTCCACAAAGTCCTGCGTCAGTTCTCTGTACTCCCTGTCATCTCCGTCTGTGATGAGGCCGACGATAGCAGAGTCGTCAGAGAACTTTTGCAGGTGACAACTGGCAGAGCTGTACTTGAAGTCTGCAGTGTAGAGGGTGAAGAGAAAGGGAGCGAGGACAGTTCCCTGTGGAGCCCCCGTGCTGCAGACCACCGTGTCCGACTGACAGCCCTGGGTCCTCACATATTGCGGTCGGTTAGTGAGGTAGTCCAGGATCCAGGTGGTGAGGTGATGGTCCAGGCCCGTGCACTCCAGCTTGTCCTTCAGCAGTGTGGGTTTGATGGTATTGAAAGCACTGGAGAAATCAAAAAACATGATTCTCACAGTGCTCCCAGCATTCTCCAGGTGAGAGAGAGAGCTGTGTAGGAGGTGGATGATGGCATCCTCCACTCCAATGCCAGGTTGGTAGGCAAACTGCAGTGGGTCCATTGAAGAGCTCACCAGGGGGCGCAGGTGGACAAGAAGCAGTCTCTCCAGGGTCTTCATCAGGTGAGATGTCAGCGCCACCGGCCTATAGCTGTTGAGGTCTTTGGGGTGTGGGGTCTTTGGCACTGGCACCACACAGGATGTTAAATACTGAGAAAGCTACCTTCTGATGATGTGCCTTGAAGGTGTGAGAAATTTTTGAAAGACTACAAACACTGGTAACATGGCTCAACAAATTATGGTGGTAGAAGGGGATGTCAGAAGGTAAGATTCTGCCTAGGGCAGCAAACAGGTCAGGCTCCCACTATTCTCTACCATCGTTTTTACTCTTAATCAGTACTGCCAGAAACAGCCAGAAACCCTAATTTCTTATTACGATGGAAACAAAGTTTTTTTTTCACATCATTTAACACCATCTCTACAGCCACGTCGTCACCTCAGTAATGCCAGATATATTAGATATACAGGAGATCACTGGCATATACAGGGGCAATGTATCAAAATTACAAGTGCCTGTTTTGATGAGCTCTACTTGCTAACAATATTTGGATGATTCCTGCCTTTGTATTATATATTACAGTGTCACTATAATTATTTAACAGGACATTTATTAGGATTAAGTCTGTTCTTGCAATAAAAAACACTGACTTGAATATGCTTTATATTTGTATAACTGAAATCAGATCTGCATACAAAAGACCATAATATTAGAATAATTTTGGTAATAATAGTATTCTCAGATACAGAAAAAATCCTGATAGGAACTCTTCCAGAGTGCCTTTGTTACTGATGGTTGCACACTTTATTGTATGTAGTGGAGATCTAAGGTCTGAGGTCTAAGTTCAAGAAAAAGAAAAAAGATGCTCTCTTCTGAAGCTCACTACAATATTGTATTTGTGTTTATGACTCACCTCAGGTCAGTACTGATGTTTTCATAATTGACATAAGGAGGTTCAAACGTTGAGTTGTTGCTCTTTAAAGACACACAGCTGGGCTCTGGAGGTTCTGCTCTGTGTGTCTGCAGTCTGAAATGTGACATGGAGACACAATTTGGAGATTTTAAGTTACACACAGATAATACAAATGGGAAACAGAACATTTGGACATCACTGGTTTCCATTCAGTCAGAAGATTAAACAAAGCTAGGCAAACTCAGTTTTGCCAGACTGCCACGCCACATGCTCTCGCCTCTGCAAGTTGTGGGAAATAACGTCAGGGGTGAAGTAGCCATTGTAAAAGTGAGGGGAACCCATGTCAGTACATCACACCCCTGAAACCCCACAACCCACGCCTGTAGGTTCAGTAGTACTATCATAAAGCCGTTTGTGTGTATTTACAGTCAAGCCAATTTGTGCTTGGGTCAGCAATATACAAACATAGCCTACAGGGAAGTTAATCTGTTCACAAACATATGGTCCAAAATGAGCCTTTCAAAGTTTTTAGTTAGACATACAATCTGCTCCAAAAACACAACACTATGGTTATGCTCCAAGATAAGATCACTAACCAGTCATGGGGTAGTTTCTCCAAAAAATATTCCTTTACAAATTACTACACGAAGAATGAGTTATCAAAATGTGTTTTTCCAAAAACAGTTGAAACCAGACTGACTTGTGGCTTTAACTGGAATGTATAGCTCATGGTAAGTCTACGGTGGCTGGATAAAACATTATGGCCAAAAATCAAATCCACATGGCAGTACTCAATGCGATTTTTATTTCTGGAACCAGCCTATTCAGCTCTACTGGAAGAATGGTTGTTGGCAGGCTAACTTAAGGTGCATTAATGCCACCTTCTGAGGGCTAGCTATGCTCTTTGTGGGACAAAGTCATTAGTCAGTGAGCAAAACCACTTATCCTAGGCAATAAATCTAGTCATTCAAACAACAACACCCAACTAAAAAGCCAATTATACCTTATCACAGTCATCACAAAAAACATTGTAAACAGAATTATTACAGTGCAATCTGCTTATGAATTTACACACTTATTTAAGCTTGAAACGATTACCCAAATATGTGGATTGAGACCGCTGTGAATCAATATCACCACTGAACAGTCATTAGAAAACACTAACTAACTAAACTAACAAGTTTAAAACTGGAAAAACAAATGGTTTGTCTTAAATTAGTAAGTGAATGTGACTCACTTTGAGTCATAGGTTCCTTCACCACTGCTGAAGGGATGAAGATGTAGATGATGAGGCTCCATCATGAGGTTTTCAGTCTTCTCAGATACAGTAGGACAGTGGACATGCTGCAGTTCTCTGCTCCTGTGAAGAGTCACATTTAGACATTGAACAGGATACTCAAATTCACTACACCAGCAAAATTACGCATTCGACATTGCACATTACATATATTCCATTACTAATCAGCTATATAAGATATGTCATTAGTATGGCATTCACCTGTTACCCGTATTTACTATACAGTCGAATGAATAGAGCTCACAGGAGTGCTACTTTGGTTAGATTAGCACCGGTGGGAGTTGGGAGATCCTCAGTCCTTCCCAGGAAAATAAAAGACCATGTACATCTCTTTCTACTTATGCCATATTGCCAAGATAACTAATGGGTTAAATACCCATGATAAAATGTTAAAACTAGCGCCCAACCAATATAGAATTTTTAAGTCCAACACCGATTTCGATATATGAGGACTTAAAACTCAGATATATTGATATAACGACTGATATTCTTTTTTTCGTCAGAAATACATAAATAATAAGATTCCCTAACACCTGTTGTGTGTAGTTCTAAGAGTCCTCACCAAGATAACATGACATAATGCAGTTTAAAAATAAACTTTTGTTCATAACACACTGTGGCGTCATGAAGACAAATCCGATGAAGACAGCCGCCGTACTTTAGTTTGAAGAATTAAATGATTAAACAGATAAACATGTGGGAGCATCTGAACATGGCATGTTCCTCATAACCATATCGGAACTCCTTACAAAGACATGAATAACATCTTACAGCATATCAATGCACACTACGCTCTAACAAAATAAGCTGGATAACTTTGTCTGGCTTTTTTTAGATTTTAGACTTTATTACTGCACTAAAAAGTTTACACTGGAATTATAATTGCTGTTTATTTTGCTGCTACATTATTCAGAAGCATATTAATAAAGTTTTTTTTAGAATACTTAATTCTTGTTTTTTATTATATTAATTTTCATTTTTATTACTCTTTTGCTTACTTTTATTACTCTACAGCCTTGTGTTAGACACAATGAGGTACACTGTCAGAAGTAAAGGAACTGTGCAGGTATATTTTTCGTTCATCAAGGTACAAATAATGTAAATGTTCCCTCAAAGGTACAACAGTGGTTTTAAGGTCCAACTGTGCACCTTAAATACGTTTTTCCAGGTGAAAACTGCGTATTTGTGTCTTTTCATAACCTCATGTTTTAAAACAGAACAATAAAATAAAAAGCCTGGAGACGAGACGCGGCGTGTGGAGTCAGTACAGCTAAGAAAATATCATTTCATTGGATTATGGTACAATTATGTTCCCTGACTAAAGGTACCCCAGTGACAAAAGGGGTACTGCCCCAGTGTCAGTTTCATACCTTTATTTCTGAGAGTGTTTACAGAATTTAAATAACATTTTAAACAGCCGATACTCAGAATTCAGGTATGGGAAGAGAAAAATTGGGATGGATGCATCCTCACTTGACACTATCAATACTAGACGTTTTCTTTAAGTAGTAAATTGAATACACATCATAATTGTTATGTGTTGGTGAAAAAGTAAAAAAAAAAAATCAAAAACATTTGTAAACATTTGTGTAATACAGGAACTACTGTTCCTTCCTCTGTCTGCTTCTCCCATGTACAGGCACAGCCACATGACACACGCAAAGTGAAGGCTCTATGAAGGCACATATTTTGTTACTTCTCTAAACAGACAGGCTATGTGGCAGTTTATTTAATACTAGTATAAAGGCTTTCATGTATAATTTTCATGGCCACTTTATTACTGTTTTTTAATGCAGAAATCACAAAAAACTTCTTTGGTATTACTTGGCATGGGATCAAAAAGAAATTACCCTTCCCTGTTGAAAAGCTTTGACTCAGACTCGTTGCTGGTTAAGCAGAGCTGCACAGTTTAACTGATCTTCAACTCATTTCCCCAAGTACAGTTAGGCGTGCATGTTCTACAGATCACCTCGTCTGCTTCCGGGAGTAATATAATCGTTTTAAGTGAGGGGATTAAGGGATATGAGCATTTTTTACCTGGTGAAATGTAAAATGTGACAGTTATACAACATGTAGACGACTGTGCTCCAATAAAGCCTTAAGTTTAGATTTACAGTACTCAGAAATTTAAGTAGGCCCCATTTTCCACAGCCAGCCACACCCGTTAAACTCCTGGTTAAAACACTCTAGATACAGTTCAAGTCTCATTTCAACGTTATTTCGACGTCGTCTTCTCACCCAAAATCTCAATTTATTTTTAAATCGTTAAAAACGGGTTTCGGTCGGTCGTTTGACGTCACAACACATCAACAAAATGTTTGCTTAATTTATTCACGTGTCCGTTTAATTAAAACAAACATCGAGCTTTACTGAAAATGGAGGTTTCTACAGCTACGCTTGTTCGCACAAATAAATCTGTTAAACAGCTAAAACAACATGTTTACATCGACGTGTCTGCTGGGTAGCCATTTTGTGGCTTGGCCAGGAAGAGAGACTTAAAACATCGAGCACGGCGTTTAGACGGAGTTTAAACACCATAATATCATTAAATACCATTTCTGTCGCTGTGCACACATAGCCGAGTGTTGTTTTTAAACTACAACGCCAAAATAACCTATTTAGGATGGTTAATTCACTCACCAAAAACGAGTCCGTCATCCTCCCTCCGCTCCTTCTGTAGCTGATGGCGTCGGTGTTGTTAGAGTTCCTTTCACTTTCACTTTTATTAACCCTTCAGGCTCCGACAGTAGGACAATTTCGAACTCCTCAGAATATCCTCTGTTTGAGGCTTGCTAGTCGCTCTTTTTCCAACAAGGTTACAGCAAAGTTAGGATGTAATACAGAAAGTGTGTACTTAACCTTCTCATTCTTAATATCCTGTTTTACTGCAGTTTCGCACTGTGACTCCGCTGTTATGCTGTAGTTCACTCACGGTCCCAGTGCTGAGGAGGGAGCAGAGCAGAGGCAGAGACATTTTTATTCCTCTTGAATAGGCAAGATGTGTGGCATTGTAAGAAGAATTTCTATAGAAAATTATATTAAGGTTACAAACAGTGTTACGGTTAGTTCAAGAACTTTATTTAAAGCTTCACAATTAGTTTCAGTTAAACGGGACAATCATTTGGATTAGAAATGCCATTATTACTCTATTAAAAGTCTCTCGTTTCATGACATAACAGTATGCCTAGAATATGTTTATCTCCCCTGTGTTCCTTCTGTAAAATGTGTGATGAAACAGTTCAACATTGATTTTAAAAGATGTCCCCACTCACTCACATTTGAACGGATATCTTCGTTTTGTTATTTTTATGTTTGAATAAATTATCACAGATTTCAGAAAGAGTTCATTCTTGTTTCACAGTCTCAGGTAAATTACTTTTTATTTTGATAATGCTGTAATAATAATAATTATATATACATCTAACAATTATAACAATTATATATACCCCATTTTTGTTATTATTATTATTTTTTGTTATTTTTTTCTGGTGTTTTGACAGACTTTTTTTTAATGGCATCTTTATTTGAACTCTCACTCTTCCTATAGATATGTATAATATACATATGAGGGAGGGGTGCCGAGAAGTCCCAACAAACTGCAAATAAAAAACGAAAAATCAAAATGAAGACACAATACTACCTTTCATAAACATGCTGCAAATACAGAAAACACATGCAACTTTAGAAACACTGAAGCCAGTCACAACACAACAGAGGTATTGTTGCCATTTAGACTTTTACATTCTATGCAGCATAAACATTCATGGGTAAAAGTAAGTTACCATTATTTGAGCAGATTATTACAATCACTGTATCGTAATGGGAATTAGCTATAGAGTGTACCTGTAAACGTTTAATTAGTAATACCAGATTAACTTCCACAGTACAGCTACGACATGTCAGACAGCAAGCTAGCCAACCAGCTCAACCATGAACTTGGGATGTGAGTGTCCGAGTGTCTGTGGTCTTATCTGCTTCTCTCTTCAGTGTTTTTCCATCATTCCATCCCCTCTGAGCCCTTTGAGTCTTCCAGAAACATTCACATTGTGTTGTGGCTCACTTCCATTGTGTTGTGACTGGCTTTGCAGCGTTTCTGAAGTTGCATGTGTTTTATTTGCAGTGCGTTTGCAAAATTTATCTCTGATGTAGATATGTTGATGAAAGTGTTTTGAGCGAAAAAAAAACTGTAAATTTGCAAAAAGACATTTTTTACATAGCTCTGTCACATCATTTTTATTTGATCAGCCACAGTTACTATAGCATATTTTTGTGATTATTATTTTTAAATTTTTTTCCTGTTGTTTTGACAGCCTGATTTGTGATTTTGATGGCATCTTCATTTGAACTCTTACAGACTGTGACCAGGCTAAACCACTGGATATTAAAGTAAAGGTCACTGGAGAGGTGACAGAATCCAGCTGCTTTTGCCACTGTAATGAGTTTTTACTAATCGTGACCTTAACCAGTTTGAATTCTTTCATATTTAATTAATGAATCTTTCAGTGAGCTTAAAAGTCACATACAAAAAAAGTTATGATGTCTGTTTTACCTGACTTTATCTTATGAAACTGGATTTCAGGCTAAAAGGGAACAAAGTGATGCAAAGCTTTTTGTTGTCAAGATGTTAGAGGATAGAAATATGTAACTTATCTAAAAATTATTCAGATTTCACTTGTTTAAACGTTATTGATTCAGATTTCACTCCTTTTTCGACGTTATTTTCTTTTGGACAAAAGTGACTGTAGTTTACTGGTACAGTTTGAACACAGAGCAGTACACATGCAAGGATGTTAATATGATACTGTTTAAAAAGCAGGCCAATGTGTAGTAAGGGTATATGACCAGAAGATGGTGCCAGACTACTGAAAGCATCATTGTTGTGATCAGTGTGTGAAATGTGCTTTGAAGAGATGGATGCTTTTACACTCCTTAAACTGTTTGAGAAATTTACTCCTGTAATTTTATGTGGTCACACTGCAGGCCCAAAAACACAATCCAAAAGAGAAGTGAAAAAAAGGCAGAGTTAAAAATCAATGCTAAACAGGGTAGTAGAAGCTAGGCTAAAACAAGCGTAGGACAAAATGGGTTACAGAGATGTCAAAAACATGAATACACAGGCTACTTTACAGCTCAAAAATATGGGACAAACATAGAAGACTTCACAAACACAAGGTCCACTGGCTCCGTATAAATAGACCAGTTCATGATTATGGCTAGCTGGATGTCAGGTGAGGTGGATGAGAGGTGGGGCTGCGGCAGGCTGGTGATCAGTAGATCTGCAAGTCTGAGCACTTGCCATTAGTCACGTCAGCTGCAGTTGCTCTCCCAAGCAGAGTCGCTGCCATTAAAAAAAACACTGGGAGGCTCAGTCAGGTGGGTGATTTCCAGGACGCCACAAGATGCATAAACTAACGCCTACACCCTTCTTTCTCTCTTGTTCTCCATTTCTACAAGAGACTAAGCCACACTGTCGACAAGGCCAAGCTGACCAGCTGCCAGCCATCTTTCTGCTCCTGAACCTATCCCATCCTCTCCAGGAGAGATAAAGGACCTCCTGTATAGCGACTGCCTAGACAAAGTTTTTTTTTTTTCCTCTCCATTTCACCCCGAGGACTCTTCGATTGGTGAATAAAAACGGCTAAGAGCATATTTTTGGACACGAGTTTTCGTGTTTGCCTGTTCTGTGTTCTCTTTTTAGTCATTAGCACCCCTCGCTGTGTTCCTGGAGTCTGTACTGCTCTAACAACAGCTACTGTGTCTCGCACAATAAGAAAAGAACTGTCACATACGTACATGTCCCTGTAGCCCAAATAGAGTAGGAGTGTATCTAGACTGTCCAGTCAGCACTCTGTTCTTTCAGGGTCTCCACTTACATACATTCCACTCCAAATTTTCTGAGCCCCTCTATGCAGGATTTTGGGTGTATTTTAACTCCTCAGTGTGGTGTGTGACACAGAAGCCTCTTGTGTTCTGGGAGAAAGTCATCAGGGAAACATACACTGCTCTTCACACTGTTCATCTATTGCTGCACAGTTCGTGTTGGTCATCCTCTAGTCCTTCATCAGTAGTCACAAGACACTTCCCACAAAATGCTGTTTGCTGAATATTTTTGGTTGGTGGACTACATCCAGCAGTGATTACTGATCCACTCATACAAGCACAACACACACAACATCACATCAGTGTCACTGCAGTGCTAAGAATGATCCAGTACCCAAATAATGCCTTGCTTTGTGGTGGTCCTGTGTGACCACTGAAGAAAAGTATATAGGAAACAAATGGACTGCAGCACTACAAAGTGCACATATATGGTAAGTGGAGTGGATGAAATGGACAAAGAGTGTACATACAAGGAAGTGTACTTAATGAAGTGGTCGGTAGGTATAAATAAATATCTGTAGTGGCAGACGATGCTAACGCTCTGAATTAGATAGTGGTATGCATTAAATCAATAGAAAACCGAAGCACTACTCATTTGTACCGCAACTTGGAAATCTGGCTCTATTGACCACACCTGAAGCTAAAAATGTATTTTGGTATTGAGCTGTCATTTAAACCACACTTTAGTAATGTTAGTAAGACTTAGCCAAGACTTAGCTCTAGTTAGATCCTGTGTAGCATTGCACAAGGCTAAGAAGTTGACCCATGCTTTTATTTTTTGCTTTCCAATTTTTTTGCTACAACATTTTGGTAAATGACCTAAAAGGGCTATTTATAGGTTATAGATTATGTAAAAGACAACTGCTAGAGTACAAGTAGAAGAGCAAATGCAGCTACAACAAAGTTGTTTTCCAGAATTCATCATATTTCAAATCTTAAAGCAAAAAACCTCACTAAAATTAATGTAAACAGATAATTATAACATTTATCATTTAGTAACTTCACAAAATTCTTGGAATTTTGAATAAACATCTAAAATTACACATCACATCACAAGTGCGTCTAATGAAAGTAGTTTGTAAAATTAAAATCCACAGTGTAACAGTTATTATTGTATATAAAACAACAAAAAACAGTTAACATGACAAGTGACTCAAACCAGAGCAGAAGTGTACACATATTGATTAACACTGTAATCAAGCACTTCATGTACATTTGTTGAGCTTGCTGTGGAATGTTGAACATTTTGGTGCTTTGTGGGACGAGCACCAGTTTTCTTTATCTAATGGAATGTAGATAAGATGCAGACAGACATACTTTGAGTTGCATCTTTTAGTAGGGACTTCAGATAATCACAACATGATTGGCATATACCACTGACAGGCACACACGGAAATGCATCATCAACCCGCAGTAGTTTAATCTACCTTAGACGCACTTGTGATGTGATCAAACTGGTTTCTGTTTTTCGAAAGAAATAAACGGAATGTATAGCCATATTATCATTCAGTCTGGACTGAGAGAGCACGTCTTTAAAAGTGTGGTGCTGTAAGAAGCTATGTTACTGAAATGTAGATAAAATAACAAGTATTAGTCTTAAGTTATATTTTCTCCTGTAAATTTGTAAGCTATCAGTGATAGAGATGGACATGGACTTTCTCACAGAAGACCTATATACTGATCCCAGTACAGGTAACACTGCTCTCAGTTTTTTTGGACATATGTTACTGTAAATGTCCTTTCTCTGTTAGCAATTATGGTCTTTAGTATGAAGAGAGCACTCCAGAAAAGCAAAATGCGTAGTAAAGCATGAAATGTGATTATTTCCTGTAAAAGTAGCACTGGTATA